ATTAAGGGTTGCTTTCTCGATGTCATTTACATTCTTTTTCTACCGACATGCAGAAAACATCAGCAAGTGCTGGATGACTTGACTCTGAGGAATAAACATCTGCTCAGTTACCTTTCCTGAGTGCAAGAATGAATCTACCACACTGTGAAACTGAAATAGTCACCGATCCCATTCCTGTGCAGGGTTAAGAGCACCTCCTCCAGGTCTAAGTAGCTCAGATGAGAGAGCATCAGACTTTTAATCCAGGGTCCAGGATTCAAGTCTCTGTCCAGGCACTTATTTTCTTGTTCCACCTGGTTCAAAAGGAAGGCGCTAAATTTTTGTCTAAATGAAATTTGGGTTAAAGTTTGAGGACTTTTACCCACCTAGAATGTGGAGACACCAAGAAATCAAGTACCTTCAACCTTAATCAGTAGCTGAGATTTCCTATTCTACTCCAAGCAGATGACTTAAACAGTTTTTAATAATGGAGATTTCCTAAGGAACATAGCACAACAGGCTTCCAGCCCATGGCATGTAAGAACGCTATCCCTGTAGACTAGAGTGTTTTAGAAAAGGAATTGAAAACTTAGTGAGTAAAGTATCAAACCCAGCACTTTTAGATTTTCAGCTCTTCACTCACAACTGAGCTACTTGGCAGATGGGGAAAGCTCTCCTGCACACCACAGTTATGTCACATTCTAGTGACAACAAGCACAATGATAGGGAATCATTTGACAAATACTGCAGTATGGTCTTTATGTGAAATACCCTATCCAGAAATATACGAACACTGCACCATTCATTTCGCAATTTTGGCCAATTTTGTGTTGATGCAGTCAACTGCTCGGTGGATTGTATTTCTCATTAGAAATATGCATTTCCCCCTCTTCTGCTGAAAGATTGTACTTCCCATTCCATTTGAAGATAATACTATGATCCATGTAGAAAATCCCAAGGAACTTTAAGACAAACAAAATACCTAAAACTAAGAAGTATGTTCAGCAGAGTCACAGGATACACGCTCAAAATACAAAAATCAGTTGTATCTCTATATGAGCAATGAATATGTGGGCACCAGAATTAAAATACAGTACTTCTCACGTCACCAGAAAGAGAGAGAGAGACAGAGGAGAAATATTAGATGCAAACTACTGGAACCTACACATACTAAAAACTACAAAATGCTGATGAAAGGAGTTAAAGACCTAAACAAATGAGGAGGTATTCTGTGTTCACTGATCTGAAGACTCAACATAATAAAGATGTCAACTCTCTTCAAGATGACATATAAGTTTAACACAATTCCCATAAAAACCCAGGTGAGTTGTTTTTTTTGTCGAAATAGATGTAAGTATTCAAAAATGTTTATGGAAAGGCAAATGAGTTAGAGTAACTAAAATGATTCTGAAAAAGAAGGACAGAGTGAAAAAAAATCACTTGTGATTTCAAAATTTATATAGCCACACTAATAAAGACTGCATTAGTGGCTGAGGGATATAGGCTTGTAAGTCATTGAAACAGTATATAGAACCCAGAAATCACTACATATACACTAAGTTGTTCTTGACAAAAGTTTCCAAGCAATTCAGTATAGTAAGAAAAGTCTTAGTCTTTTTAAAAAAGTGGTGGTTGAATAATTGGATCTCCATAGGCTAAAAAAGAATTTTATATATTAAAAAATCAACTAAGATGGTTCATAAATGTAAGTAAAACATTAAACTTTTAGAAAAAAGTATAGACAATTTGGGGGGACCTGGGGTTTGGTGGAGAGTTCTTAGACATGATGCCAAAAACACAATCCATAAAAGACAATTTTGACTAACTGGATTTCATCAAAATAAAAAACTTTTGCTCTGCAAAGGACCCTGTTAAGAAGATAAAAAGGCAAGATAAAACTGGCAGAAAATATTTGAAAACAATACATGTGAAAAAGGACTCATACTAGAATATACAAAGAACTCTCAAAGCTCAACATTAAAACAACAATCAATCCAATTAGAACATGAGCAAAAGGCATGAAGAGACATTCCACCAAACAGGATATACAAAAGGGAAATAAGCACATGAACTGATTCAGTATCACTAGTCATTCAGGAAATGTACATTAAAACCATAATGAGCTATCATCACACACCTGTTAGAAGAGGTTAATTAAGAAATCGTGACACTGCCAATGACAAAGATGCAAAGAAACTATCTGTCACACCTTGTAAAATGCTACAGCCACTCTGAAAAATAGTTGGGCGGTTTCTTACAAGTACACTTATGATACAATCCAGATTTTACCCCTAAACGATGAAAAGTTATGTCCACACAAAAACCTACCATTACTATTCATAGAAGCTTGGTCTGTAATAGCCCAAACCTGGAAACAACCAAAGAGTTCCTCAACAGGTGAATGGTTAAACACGCTGTGATACATCTATACTGTGGAATACTACTCAACAGTTAAAAATTTCTGATACATGCAACAGTTGACGCGGATGTCAAGGACATTGTGCTAAATGAAAACAGCCAATCTTTTTTTAATGTCTTTTTTAAGTAATTAAGGTAGTCATCTAATGCAAATCTTTTTTTTTAAAAGGCTTTGTTTATTTTTAGGGAGAGGAAGGATAGGAGCAGTCCCCACACGCCCCCCGCTGGGAACCTGGCACACAACCCAAGCACGGGCTCACACGGGAATCGAACTTGGAGCCTCTCGTTTTGGAAGCCTGCGCTCAATCCACTGAACCACACCAGCCAGAACAGAAACAACTAATCTTAAAAGGTCACATTCTGAAGCCTATGTTCCTAAAGATAAAAGGTTTACGATATTGCAGGTGCGTCCCATCCAGCATCTTCACAGGGGCAGCTGCGGACAAGTGGTGTTCAGGGATTTCCTAAAAGTTCTGTCCTGTGGATATAAGAAACGGGAAAGGGGGGTCCTGTTGTTGTTGTTGTTGTTGTTGTTGTCTCTAGCCGGCCCCAAACGACATCCGATCGAAACTGTGGCCGCCAAGTAATAATTCAAGCAGTATATCTGATTTATTCTCTGTGTTTCAGGGGCGCCTTCCTTGTGAAAATTGCGCCCTGGCAAGCAAATAAAAATGCCCTCTTTTATCTAAAAGGTTGTCTATGACATTTATGACAGGAAACAAACGAGACGGTTAACTCGCCTGCTCCCCTAGGCGCAGGGTGGCAGGGCGACCCCTCAGATGCTGCCCACGAGGGTCCCCCTAGTTAAGTCTGCTCTGCGCAAAGAACGTCTCCTGGAAATAAATAAATACCCGATTTTGGACATGTTGTCGGGTTGGAAAAGCACAGGCCCAGAGGTGATGGCCCGGGCCGACTGGTTGTGGAACCGCGGGTCTCCGGTGCGCGGGAGAGAGAGGGCGCAGGAAAGGAAGGAAAGAAAAGCAAAATCACAAAGGGTTTTCTCTTGGGCCTTTCACTTGCGTCTCCTCTCCCGACGCGCGTCCACCAGGGAATGAAGGCAGCGCCCCCTGCGCGCGGAGCCCCATCGGAACAGGGGACCGGAAGCTTCTTTCCCAGCCCCTCCGGACGTCCCCACTGCCGCTCAGGAAGCGCCTCGGGGGAAGGGTTTTCAGCCAAAACTAAAGGCCTAAGTGGATCAGGAAGAGGCTTCTCCTCTCCGATGTCCATAAACGAAGGCGGGTAGGGTCGGGAAGACGCGCGCTCAGGTCAGAGATTCCACGCAGATTAAAAGGAGAGTCGGCGTCGCGCGCACCTGGACCCCGCGACTCACCGCGCGGTGACCAGCTGCAAGCCGATGGGTGCCATTTACGGAACCAGCGCACTTAAAGTCCTCTCATATTTCTGAAGAAGAAAATGGAATGAATCCATACAGTAAATTGGAAAAACAAAGTACATTCATGAAGTTTAACTGAAACTGGCTACCAAAGAAAAAATTAAAAATGCGAAAAAATAAAACTGTCTATAAAAATAACACGTTGAATGAAGAATAGATTGTCTGTGATTGTTTAATATAAAAACAATAAAATATTTCTGAAAATGTTTTTAAATTAGAAAATAGATCATTTTAAAGGGGAAAACTAGACGGCTAACTTGGATATAGTCATTATGGAGAAACCAAGTGACGAATTTTTACACAAATATCATAAGGTCTCATTTAATTTGTGGTTTAATATTTTGCTAAACCAGAGGAACCTGGATGACTAACATTCTGAAAATTTCAAAAACAGTAACTTTTAAGGATTACTAAAACATTTCCTTTTAATTACAATAAAATCGGCACAGATGGACTGTTTCAAGAAACGTCGTCAGAAAATGAGTTCCCTTCAAAACGTACTCTCGCCCAAAAGCGGGGCCGGGTCTCCCACTTCTCTGTTCTCGTCCAGGAGCTCGGGGCCCGCCGGGCTGGCGACCAGCGGTGCCCGCTGGGGCTCAGGTTCCGGGTGGGGAGGTGAGACCCCGGGCCTTCCTGACTCGGGCGAGCATCGGGAAGGCGCCCCGGATTCCCCGCGGGAGGCGACCCTGGGCTTGTCCTCCCAGCAGATGACTGGCACCTACTGGCTGCAGAAAGGCCACCCTCGGTGTTGGGGCGTCCCGTGTTCCTGGCTGCTGCGCCACGACCGCCGTCTGGCTGCACGGGCACGCCCTCGGGTTGGCGGTCCTGGGCTCCCCGCTCCGATTCCGGGAACACGGCGCCCGCTCACACCACCACCACGAGACTCGGTGACCTCGGGCGCTTGGTCCCAGGCCTGTGCTCCGCGCTTCCCCTAGAAACCCTCTCCTCGCCCGGGCTCCCGGCTTAGGCCTCCAAACAGCAGAGCCTACGGGGCTGCCGAGGCCCCGCGTGCCCCTGTTCCCACTCCACGCTGACCTGCTGTCGCGGGGCCTGCGGATATCGAGCGCCCCGAGACCCTCGCACTTTCCTCGCGCCCGGATCCCAACCGTCACCGAACCCTGCGCACTTGGACTCTGTTGAGTCGGCAGATGTCGGAAACCTCGAAGGGCGAAACCATCCTCCAAGTCACCGAGCCGCCCCACTGCTCTTCATGGGCAGTTACCTGGGCAAACTGGGGCCCTGGCCGCCCCCGGCAGAGGGACGCGCGGATCTGCCCCAAAGGCCGGTGACCCGCCGGTCCTCCCAGGCCCTTCACCAGGTCCACCGGGTTCAGCACGTCCATCGCGCCCACCCTGCCCCGCGGCTCAGACCTGCGAGAAGGCCGAGGACCTGGGACCCTGCCAATCCCGCCTCGTGGGCAGTGAATGAGGCCTGGAAGCGCTTTCCCATGAAGCGGCCCCAGAATTCCATCGTGGGGCCTCTTCCCTCGGACTGGTGGGAAAGTTACTTAAAGCGGACTATCTGGTCTCTCCGGCACCCCAGGGCAGTGTGGAGCCCGGTGACCGTCACGATCACCCCTCGGAGAGGGCTCCCCGCTGCGGCCCCAGCACAAGCCATCAGCTTCGCGGGGCCCTCACTCTGGGAGAAGCCTCCAGACCCACGTGCAAAGGAGACAGTGCTCAGGGCCCTCAGAGAGCGTAGGAACGGGAGACTGCGGGTGGAAGAGCCACCGTCCCCGACCCCGACCGCGTCCCCTGGAAGGTCGTGTAGAAAGGGAAGGAGTCTGGATGCCAGACCATCTGCATTTAAGCCTCTGCCGAGAAGCGGAGACCTTGCTTCCTTTGTGCCGAGCCTCGGGCCTCTGAAGAGAAGCCTGGACTCCTGGAGCTCAGACCACAGCCTGAGGAGGAGGCCCAGTTCCTCCTCTGGGAGCTCCCCGGCCAGCGCCCGTGCAGGTGGCCCCCTCAGCTCCAAAAGAAATGCGATTACAAGTTCTTATAGCTCTTCCCGAGATCTCTCCGAGCCCAGGAAGAGAAGCGTTCTCTGTGCATCCTTCCAGATGCCCGAGTGGCCAGTGAAAAAGAGAGCAGGTCAGCAGGGTCGCTCTCCAGCCCCACTGGCGCCAGAGGAGTCCCCAGCAGTGCCTGGCAGCACTGGGGAGCAAAATGAGGCGGTTCTGCCGCTGCCCTCTCGCCCTGGGACCCTGCTGCCCCTGAGCCCCGCTCCCCAGCGTGCTCGCGCAGTCCCTGCTGAGGGCCTGGCCTTGAAAGCCGGACTCCAGCGGAGCAGCAAAACCAGAAAAGATACCGCAGCGGTCACCACAGACCCTCCCCTCTCGGTCACCCTGGATTCTGCAGGCACAGCTCCAACCCACGGCAAAAATCCTCAGGTGGCATCGCCAGGCCCACTGTCCTCCCCACAGTTGTGGGGAGACGGAATCAGTGTGGCCGACTCAGCTCTGAAGACACCCGGACCGCGGGCCCCGCCCTGGCGCTCACAGATGGAGCCCCCCCCAGGCTCCTCCTCAGATGCGAAGCCCACAGCTGCTGTCGCCCCTCGGACCCCTGCTTCTCCCACGTCACCGGCCGCTGACCGGACGCGGCCCTTGAACCCACCTGCCGTTATCCCGGCAGTGCCCTCTACACGAAGGACTTTGTTTGGAACGGTGAGGAGACCAGGTCGCCATCTTTCCGGGTCTGCACCTCCTGCTGCAACTTCTGCTGACCCCGCATCAAAACCCAGTTTGGGGCCTCGACCCAGCCGCGAGACTGAGGACGACGCCTTACCTTCCAGAATCTCAGTCACGGCTGCGGCACGTTCACCCTCAGACATCTCCATGCCCACCTTCAAGCCCACCTTTGGCAGCACAGAACAGCTTAAAAGTATGCCCGAGGCAGCTCCGTTCCCTTCCAAGCAGACCTCTCCTCCAGCTCCTCCGGCTTCTGCCCACCTCTCCCACAGCCTGGCCCAGGCTGCCTCTGAGGCCACGTCCAGTCCCCCAGGGAGCACATCCAGAGGCTCCTCTTTCAAGCCACCTCTGGATGTGGGTGTCGCAGAAGTTACCAGTACCGTGGGCAACACCCACTCTGTCCCTTCCGCTGCTCACACGTTCCTCTTCCGGGCTTCCCGTGCCTTCAGGACCAGCCTCTCCCCAGTCACAGGCTTCGTTGTCCCGTCTCCCCAGCACCCTGCCATTCCTGTGGGAAACTCAGGCGACCTCCTTAGCCAGAGTGCTGCCCAGACACCCCCTAGTAAAAGCGCTGCCAGTCTCAGGGGCCAGGGCAGCCCTGTGTCGGCCTCAGCCCTTGTCACCACAAGCCAGCCCACACCGTCACCCGGCATCTCCAATCTGACCTCACTATTCACAGTTCCTCTGGGGTCAAGCTCAAAGCCACCTCTCCCGCCATCCCTGGGAGCCCCTCCCCAGCCTGCTTTGGGGGCTGCAGGTGAGCAAAAGCCAGGGGCCCTCCAACCAGCCCTTGCCCCAAGCTTCAGTCGCGCTTCTGTCTTTGGAAACTCAGCTGTGGCATCCCGGTCCCCAACTCCAGCTCTGCCGGCCTTCAGCAGCCCCATGCAGTCAGCTTCCGGGGTGTTGGCACCCTCAGGCCCTGCCTCCCACATCCCTGCCAGCGTCCAGCCAGACGTAGGCAGCCCTGCAGCAGGCTTGCCCCTTGGTCAAGCTGGTGCCACTGGCGTTGGAGCTGACACCCCGACCCGCCGGAGTGGGGCTTGTGGCTCAGTATTTGGCAGCACAGCCCCACGACCATTTGCCTTTGGGGGATCAGTGACCCCTATGGATTGTGGGGAGTCTGGGGTCCCAAACATGAGCTCTAGGTCTGGGGTGCTGTCCATTGGAGCAATGCCGAGTGGGGCCACTCATACTGGTGCACCCTTTGGAAAAGGCTGGAGTCAGAACACCCAGGGCCTGACCAGCCAGAGCACCCCTTTTGCCTTGGGGAAGGCCGGCATTTCTGGAAGAAAGACTGTGTTTGGGGGTTCCCCCTTGGTCCCCTTAGCTCAGAGCATCCCTGACCCTAGGCCAGTAAAGACAGGCAGTAGCTTTGTATTTGGGATTCCCTCTCCACCTGCCAAGAGCTCCGTTGGGAGAGGGTCTTTTAAATCATCAGCCCCTTCATTTTCCATTGGTGCAAAACCAAAAAGCCCCAAATATCGGGAACAAGGGCATCCCCGAAGGCACCATGCCCTCAAGAAATAGCCTGTGTCCCTCACCCGCACCCTGACTCGAAGCTTAGTGTTGTCCGGAAGAGCCTCAGTGTCTACTAATCCTCGAAAGCAGCAATACCCAGATTTAAGGCTAGAGCTTTGTGTTCACCTGCGGGTCCTCCTCTAGATTCTAGAAAGGGAAGCGCCAAATGCCTCGTGGTGGCAGCAGAGAAACCCGGCGAGAGCTCGGGGCTTGAACAGGACGTTCCCCTCCTGTCCATTCCCCCCTGTCTCAGGTGCGCGCTCACTCAGAACGCGGCCACCTGCTTTTCCTGGGGAACAGACAAGCCAGGGGGCAACAGGTGCAGCGCCCCCACCCCACCTCACATCTTTGGGAGGTGGAATGGATTCCAAGTCTTAGCTGTCGTCCGGCTCTAAGAAGCGGTTCCCTTCCTCTGGTCCCTGACCATGCTGAGTCCTCATTGTTTCCGCGTTGTTCCTCAGTGGGTTCTCGGAGGAGTTCGGATGTAATTGACCTTGAACCAGCTTCTCCCTGAGCCCCAGGGGTGCTGTGCCGCTTTCTCTGACCAAACGGTTTTACCCATTTTCCATCCCAGCCCCATCCTTCTCTTTGCCAGCTTAGCTCCCAAGAGATTGGCGAGTGAAGACAGCCTCACAGACTCACAGATCACTCCTCCTCCGGAACAGGGAAGCCCTGGGCCAGCGCCCCTCCCAGCTGGGAGCCTTGCCTGCCTGGGACTCCTCCCTCTGCCTGACAGGGCTGTCCTCTGTGCCTTCAGTGGGGTTTGGAGAAGGGTGACTTGCAGGAGTGGGTAGAACCACACTTACCTGTGCAACGTATGCCTGGCGCCTAGCTAATTGGAGGGGTCAAGTCCCACCACATTATGGCTAGAAATGCCAGTGTTCCAGCTTTTTTACTTTAAGGGGTGACTTGTCAGGGAGAAGTAGGGCCAGAGCGGGGACAGGCAGGGTGGTGCAACCTTGCTTCTTCTCCCTACAACTTAGGCCGCGTTACCTCCAGCAGAAGCAAGAAATGCTCAATTAAGGAACCAAAGCTTACACCTCCTCTGACACTCCTCCACATTCACATCTCTCCTGGGCAGGCAGGACAGGAAGCCTCTTGGGCTTGAGAGCAGAGGGGGAAGCAATGGGTAGATACCAAGGCAGGTCTCTGCTCTGGAACCAGTGGCAGGTCTGTGACAGAAGAAAAAAAAAAAAGGACAGGAACAACTCCCTGAAGACATCTATCTCCTGTTTTGTTTTATGGATACCTTGGAAAGGCTTAATTGGAAAAGTAAGTCATCTTAAATTGGTTAATAAAATAAAAATTGTCAAAATAAGTCAATGATGTAGAATTGACTGTTAAACACATGTCAATGCAGACGCAGAAAGATGATATGAAACTTGCCCAAACCACCCAGTTAGTAAAGGTGAGATTCAGGCTTTAAACCCAAATGGCTCCAAGGTCTGGGCTGCTCCTCCCTCATTTAACAAATCACCAAGATTAGAACTCTAACGCAGTTCCCTCTGACTCTAAATATCCATGCTGTTTGCTCCAGCAAAATAAATGGGTGGTACTATGTCATATAACTTATTCACATAGTCATGTGTCTGCAATCACACACCTGTCACCTTCGCCAGATTCTGTTAGAAGAAAATCACAGCTTGTGCCAGACACTCACGGGATGAGATCATACAAGGGCATGACCACAGGGGCGGGGGGTGGGCAATGGTTACAGGGACCCTCTGAAGAGTCTGCTTGCTATGCTGGTTTCTGATCAGCTCATCCCCACCCTGTGACACTCGTGTGTCATGACTTACAGTGTCGATGTGATGGAAAATTAAAAGAAACAAACAAACTAGGCTGGGGTGGGTGGGCATTGTCCATGCAATAGAAGGGACCCAGAAAGTATTGGTTAAATAATTTTATTTTACATGAGGTGTTTTACATATTTTAATATATTACTTTTTGTTTAATCTTACACTAATGTACTTGTTCCCATTACAATGAGTGCTCTTTGAAAATATAATTCTAAAAATTCCATGTATTTTAGCAAACGGAGGATACTTAGCGACTGTGAGCTTCACGCCTGTTTTATGTTCATAACAGTAAACGCATTAAGCTCACAACGATTTGTTACATCAAACTAAAGATTATAGTTTATTTTTACATTCCAGATATTTTTCTTAATAAAGCTGAGATGAACATCTCTGTATGAAAATCTTTATCTGCATCTGTATTTCCAAAGGTTTGAAGCTTAAAAGTGAAATCATTGAGTAAATATGGAGAAACACTTTCAGACTCTTGTTATATATTTCTTTCCTAATTGTTGGTCTTCGTGTCCCTGCCCAGGGTTGTTATGAGGAGCAAATGAAATGATCTTGACCAATGAAATATCTTTTCTTTTTCTTTTTTGGTCCAGGAAGTTCATCATCTTTTGCTTGTTTTTTTTTTTTTTTTTTTTTTTTTTACTGTCTTTCCTTTTCTTTTTGAGTTACAGAAGGGTTTTTTGTTGTTGTTGTTCTCACTGTAAGGCCTTTGTTTTGCAATATCTTCTCCCACTTAGAAACTTGCATTTCACCCAGATAATCGTGTCTTAGGATGATCACAAGTTCTTAGGTTTTTTAAAAACTTTCTACTGAAGAATAATATACATTCAGGGAAGTACCCTGAACATCAGGGTGAAACTCACTGACTTTTCTCACACTGAGCACATCAGTGTAACCAGCATCCAAGACACAAAATATTATATATAAATACCCCAAAAGCCCTATTATGCAGAGTGATGCTTATATTAATCAACATATCCTTTCAGATTTCCTTCAGATACCCCTTTACTCTTCTCAGTTGGTTGGGCTGTTCTGGGAGTCTTTCCTTGGGACAGGCTCCTCTCCATTGTGGTTGGAGAAGATGTATTAGTTTAACCTTTTAAATATTTACTGAGACTTGTCTGGCTTAATATGAGTTCTATTCTGGAGACTGTTTCATGTGCACTTGAGAAGAATGTGTATTTTACTGCTGTTGGGTATAGTGCTCTATACATACCTATTAGATTTTGTTGACTTATAATATTGTTCAACTTCTCCATTTCCTTTTAAATCTTCTAACTGTTCTATCCATCATTTAAAATGGAATATTGAAGTCACCAACCCATATTGTAGACCTGCTTACTTCTCCCTTTAATTTCGTCAATGTTTACTTCAAGTATGTTTGGGGCTCTGTGGTATGCTACTGTTATGTCTTCTTGATGAATCGATCCTTTATCTACATATCATGCCTTTTTTTGTGTCTTGCAGCAGTTTTTTGACTTAAAACCTTTATCTCTCATATTATTATAGCCACCCATGTTCTCTTTTGGTTGCTATTTGCATGGAATATCTCTCCATCTTACTGTTTTAAGTTTAATCGTGTTTTAGATCTAAACCGAGTATCCCATAGACAGCACATCATAGGATCATTTAACATGTTTTATTGAACCAACGTCTGCCTTTTGATTGGAAAACGTGACCCATTTACAGTTGGGGTGCTGGTAAGGAAGGCTTTACCTCTGCCATCGTGCTATTTGGTTTCTGTATTTCTTTCTTTAGGAAGATTTATTTACTTATTTACTTTTAGAAAGAGGGGAAGAGAGGGAGAGAGGGAAACATCAGTGTGTGGTTGCCTCCTCTGCACCCCCTATGGGGACGTGGCACGCAACCCAGGCATATGCTCTGATTGGGAATTGAACTGGTGACCCTTTGGTTCTCAGGCGGGCACTCAATCTACTGAGCCCCACCAGCCAGGGCTGTTTTCTGTATCTCTTACATAGTCTTTGTTTCTAATTTCTTTCATCACTGCTGTCTTTGATGTCTAATTGGTTTTTTGTAGTGTAGTATTTTGATAATTTTCTCATTCCTGCTGTTTGTATTTTTTTCTTAAAAAATATTTTATTTATTTATTCTTAGAGATAGAGGAAGGGAGGGGGAAAGAAAAGGAGAGAAACATGGATTGGTTGCATCGCATTCCCCGACTGGGGACCAGCTGCAACCCAGGCACGTGCCCTGACGCGAATCGCCAGAGACCTCGTGCTTTGCAGGATGATGCCACAGGCGCCAGGGCCTGTTGTGTGTGTGTTTTTTAGATATTTTCTTAGTGGTTAATTATAGTTCGTGGATATTACATAGAGTATCCTAAATTTAAACCAATATAGTTTGAGTTGACAGCAGCTTACCAACTTAGTTTCAATAGAATACAAAAACTGTGCTCCTGTACAGCTATGTCTCTAAGTTGTTTTTGCCACAAATTACTTTATGCCTTGCGTGCTCATTAATATAGATTTATTTCATGTATTTGCCTTTTGAATCACCTGGGTTGTAAAGGAGAGTTACAAAACTGACAAAAAAAATAGTATATTGGTTTTTTGTTTGCTTATGTAGTTCTATATTTTTTCATATGGCTTCACGTTCCTATTTAGTATCCTTTTATTTCAACCCGAAGGAGTTCCTTTGGCATTTCTTGTAGGATGTGTCTCTTAGCAGCAGACTCCCTCAGTGTTTCACTGTGACAGTAAACAAAGAAGGGTAAGAATTAACCTGACTTGAGGACTGGAGAAAGTGATATGCAAGCTGTCAATTATTCAGAGAAGCCGGGAAGCCGGGTCTCACCAGACTTGGCTGCTCCTTTTGACCCAGAGAGATGCGGTCAGGTCAGATCGCTGGGGAGAAGCAGAGAGGGGCCCCGGGGGGAGGCTGCCTGAGGCGACGGTAAACATCTCGGCCTGGAGTGGCTGAGAAGCAGAACCCTCCAGGACACATGGAATTAAGGGCTAGAAGATTTGAAATAAAAGAAGGGCTCTCCTGCTTTTGGGCTGGCTCTCGCTTCCTCAAGGACGCCTGGGTGATCTTGCTGCAGCTGCCTGCATTTCCCAACAGACGGTATTTGGGAATGGAAGGAACTCCGGGTGCAGCCTAGGCTCGGGCTGGCCTGGCAGAGGGTGGCAGGGTTCTTCTTCTCAGGGGGCTCTAGAGCGGAGGAGCGGTGAGGCAGAAGCC